AAATTGAGTCAACTGTTGTGAACAAACTTATCAAATTGATAATTACGTGACCAACTTGTTAGACTGACCGTCACGAAAGTCTCGAGATTCAGAGGAATGATATATGCACTGGTGAATTTTATGGGTATTAGAGTCGCGCGATTCATAATAATCAAGATACTCTTCTTTACGTTGTTATTGTAATCCGGCCATTCCATTTTGTAAATATTTTCCGACAATTCCATACTCTATAAGCAAACATGCGGTGAAACATTACATCCTGTTAGATTTTTTTTCTTCGCGCTGACTTTATACGTAAATTTACCTTTAGTTTCACTTCATTTCCGAACCAACAGTAGGAGAAGGTCGGCATTAACGCGCAACCTATGCACATTATGTTTTCGACATTATTAGTAGCTGCTATTGTTAAACGAAGGAGCAGGCAACACAGTACCAAGCAGGACCCTATGAATTGGCTGCCGATGATATTTACTAATTTATCATTCAAGTTCACGGCGTATCTGGCGATTAAATAAAATATAAATATGAAATGTCGTTGCTTACATTAATATTAATTAATGTATGTAGGAAACTGACTCGAATATATGGTAATGGTGAATCACGCATTCGCGTAGCTTAGCTTGATCATTTGCGATATTTGACAGACGATACTCTAAGAATTCGATTTGTCAGCAAATGTGTAACATTAATCCGGAGAAGAAACAATCACCGGCGATGTTCAAGAAACAGCATAATAGCATACTGATCATTTGATGAATATATAAAATATAATACATCACGGAGAACGAGTAGTCAAACGGGAACCATGCTTTGAACGTTAATTTTCTTTTTCTGAAGTCCGTCAATAAGGATACCAAAGTCATGTATGAAAGAGTGAACACCATAAGAATTAAATAGCACATTGTAATTTTCCTGAAAAGATGCAATTATTTTTATATTTTATTCCTTCTCTTTTTGGTGAAACTTATTATTCAATACGTAACGATCAATTTTTCTAAGAAATAATGATATAATATAGAAGAGAAGATAATATTATAGTCCCTTATTTACGTTTTACATTTTGTTAATAATATTTTAATTGATAATTTTACGATTATATTTGTCAAAGTGTTATTCAATTGATTCTAAACTCAAAGTTATGAAATATTTAGTTATGAAATTACTTAGGATGTTATTTAATTAAAAATGTAGTGACACTGCGTTATGAGTCGTAAACAAACAGGGGAGATATGTATATATATAATGTGATCTGCCAAAGAAATATATTTAAAAAATTGGTTTCTTTCAAAAAATACATTTTATATAATTATAATACAATTTAATTATATCATT